TCTTGTTCCTATCGAAAGTTATTCAAAAAATGACAACTCACCTTTTATTTTTTGAATCGGACAATAATATTTCTTCTTGTTTGTTTTCTCTCATATATCGATCTCTTTTAAAAAATTCGGCAGGAAGTACTTTCATCCTCGAAGTAGTGACGAGAGAGGCTGGGAAGAACGAAACCGCCCCCCCATGATTCGATCTCCTCCTCCGATCTTATTCATCTCACAATGACATTGCACACAGTTGTAAAAAATTGGCAGAAAGTTGGACATTTGGAAAGTAGGAATAGAGCCGATCGGATCTGAAAACTTTGAATTCGATGAACTCTAGTGCGAAGAAACCTCCTCTTCTATTCGAATCAGAAATTATAGTTCCAGCTCTTTTGGATAAATTATCGTAATATATGTAATTATTATTCTTTTTGTTTGTTGTTTAGGAAATTGTCTTCAACAAGCTTTACGTAAAATTGGAAAAGAAAATATTGTTCATAATTGTGTATTTAATATTGAATGGGTTACTGATGCAGCAGAAAAAGAATTAGCTAAAGCTCGTCTCAATAGTCGAGGTGGTAGTGTTGATGGAACAGCAATTAGTGGACGACGAGTATGTATTTGATTTTCTTGTTTATTATGTCTAATTACTTTTGTTTTTTTTTCTTCTTGTGTTATAAAATAGTTAGATGAAGGATTTGAAAGTGATGAAGAATACGAACGTCGTCGACATGGAAAATCTAGTAAGTAAATATTTTTCTTTTTTGTTTATATATATTATTTATTACATTAAAAAATCATTATAATTAAAAAATAAATAAAGATTTCTTAACTGATGATGCAAATCGAATACCAACAACAACAATTATAAAAACGATAACATTTGAAGAAATAAATGAAGATGATCTAGGAGGAAAAAAAGCAACTAATGAAAATATTGTTTCACAATTTAAACAATTAGAACCACTTAAAATGGTTAAACGTGATCATTCAAAAGATTTTATTCCTTCATCATCATCAACATCAAGTGCAGATACAATTGTTACTGTTGCTATGAGAAAAAGTTTAGGTTATTAAAAAAGAAATAAATGTTTCGTTTATTGTTATTGTTGTTGTTGTTGTTGTTTGCTTTAAATATTGTTTTTTATTGTTCGTCAATGTTTGTTGTTATGAATTTATGTTTTTTAAAGGTGAACGTGATGGTCCTTTACATTTTGTTGATTCAAGTAAAGCACCTACACCAGCATCACGTTATGGTGGTTATTATTCAATATATCATCCACAGAATTATTCAGGTTCAATAACACCATTAAATTATCAATCATATCCATTTGAAATGATACATCTTGAAAGTTTAAGAGAAAAATTAAATAGATTATCACGTGATAAAGGTTCTTTGTTATTCTTTCTGTATGATATCCTTTGAATTTTAAGCATGTGGATTGGTTTTCTCTTTTTTTTTCTTTTGCTGTGTGCTTATCATTTTTGATCAAATATATAAAATTGAATTCTTTTTTTTTTTTTTCTGTTTAGCTGATCTCGATGATCCATATGGCACATTATCAAAGCAACGAAGTATAGATATAAATGAAGGACGAATAACGCCAAAAGCTAGTTCGGGTATGTTATTTGTTTAATTTATGATCTAATGTCATTGTCGTTCATTTGTTAAAAGAATTATACTGAAAAATTATTTGTAATAGTAGGCGTATCAATCAGTTAGTTTTTTCTTTTCTTACTAATAAAGGTCAAAAAGAAAGAAAAAACGCATTTTTTCTGCTCGACATAATGATTACTATTGTATAGATTAGAAGACGAAGGAGAAAAAGAGGAAGAAGAAGCGATAATCGACTATAGTAATTAAGTATTTTAATGGAACGTTAAAAGACCTTCGTTTTTTGACGTTCATGACATGCAAATGAACATTAAAATGCAAATAATTTTTTCTTTTGTTATATCTATATTGAATTGACGTTCTGTACTATTAATTCTTAGTTACTATTATTCATAAATAAGAATTCTCTTGTGTATCTATATATATATATTTTTTTTTTTCTTTGTCATAAAATATTTCATGTTACTTACTAATAAAGAAAGGAATGTCAAAAAAAAAGAGAGAGAGAGAAAGATATTCGTTTTCAAATATCTCAATAGACAATATTAATAAAATAGATGTGAATTATTGAAGTAGAATTTTATGAAATTCTAGATCGTCAAAGTCTATATTTGACATCATATAATAGACTTTTCTTTGTTTATTATAATTCAATGTCATTGTTGCTTATGATTAATAGTATCGATGAAAATCTAGTTTTTTTTTGTGTTCTATTCCTTAAAAGAAAAATAATGTTTATAAGTAAAAACATATAATTATTATTTCTTCTAGCTCATCGAATAGGAAAAAAAAAAGACTAGGTCACGTATCTAATTTCTATAGATAAAATAATTATTCATATATATTTATATATATAATCCATCTTCATATTATTATTTCCGTCGATTATCAATCTATATATATATATGTTTGCCATTCGTTTACAAGGTGAATATGAATGCACGTCATTGTTTTTATTAGTTATGAGAGCAATCTTTGCTTTATCTATCTCTCATCATCTTGCCAATATTCTTCTTCTATCAAATAAAAAGAAAAGAAAAAAAAAATAGGGAGAGAGAGAGGCGGACTTGTTTTCTCCTCTAATATATTGCTGATATATATATATATATATATATACAAGCAAATGCTTGATATGAATGCGCATCTGGCATAAAAAGAAAAAGAGATTCGTATTCCTTCGACCGAGTGTTCTATAATTAGGCATTAGAATACTAATCGATTAGAGATGCCATTACTCTGTTTGAGTGAAAATCGAACATTATGTTGTGGTTTATGTAAAAAAAAACGACAAATTTTAAGTAAAATAAAATAAAGGATAAAAAATTCAAAAAAAAAATAAAATAAAATATTATTTTTTAGAATTTAAATCAAAAAAATCTCCAACAAAATTAGGTGATTTTGGTATTGTTAATATTGTTCAAGAAACGACACCAACTTTACCAGATAATCAATCATATTTAACATCAATTCAATCAGATATATATGAAAAACAAACACCAATACAACAATTAACTGAACAAACTGTTCAAATGCTTGATGATATACGTAAGTAAAAAAAATGAATTATGTAGATTTTTTTTTGTTATCATCTCATTCTTTTCCAGCACCTATACGTGCTAATCAACCACCTGTAAGTGAACGTTTAATAAAATCGAAAATAATACCTGAACCAGCACGTGCATTAGCGAATGCACTAAAACATGCTGTTGTTAGACCATTAAAAAAGACGATAACAAAAAAAAAATCTTTTGATGGAAATCTATCTGAACAACAAATAATACATAATCATCCACCTATTGTTCATTCATTTTCTACTCCATCATCAATACTTATTGAAAATAATGATCAACAATTAAATGAAATATCTATTGATTCAAATGAATCAACAAATGCAATTCCATTAACATTATCACCAATTAAACCACCACGTTTAAGTGATGAATCAGGTTCATCATCATCTATTGAAATTAATTCACCACCACCAGCAAAACCACCAAGACATTTTTCTTTATATAAAAATGATCATGAAAATAGTTTAATACAACAAACAAATAATGTTGTAAAAAAAGTTTTAAATATTGTTGATACATTTGATAATGATACAAATATTTTACGACAATCATCATTAAATGCAAATCAATCACTTAATTGTCAAATATCGAATAGTTTAAAAAATATTGAAACATTTTCTGTTCAACCAATTTGTATTGCAATAAATACTGATCTTTCATTAATGACAAAATCTATTGATACTAGTATAGATAAACCAATGACAATCAAATCATTGCCTTCTTCTTCTTCTTCTATTGAACAATTGAATAGTTCAGAAAAATCAATAAATGAAATCATTCCAATTGAAATAAGTCAATTGGCTAAAGATGTAACAGAAAATATTTTACAAGAAGTTGAAAAACAAACTAAATTAACAAATTTGAATTCAACTATAAATAATAATCAACAAATTTTATTTGATAAACTTACGCAATTAGAACATGAACAAATGAATAAAAAATCTTGTGATAATATACCATTAATTTTTCCTTCTAAAATTACTACTCATATATTACCTACTCAAACTATATCACGTCCATCGATGTTTGTTTCATTGAGTTCTTCATCATCATCATCATCTAATACGACGACTAAAACAAATTCACCATTACTTGATATTGTTACAACAAAAGCAGCACCTTTATTTACAACTTCAGTAAGAGTTACTAGTCCATCAACATCTATACTTTCATCAACATCAAAAACAATTACATTTACCAATGATGAATTAACTAATACATCAAAATTAATTTCTCATAGTAAAAAAATTTCTACTCATACGAAAGTATTACAAACTAATAGTAAACAAGATAATCTTGATTCAACAACATTAACTTGTTCATTTCCATCTGATTATGATAATTTACATGGTTCAAGTAGAAGTTTAAATTATGATAATCATCAAACAGAAATCTTATCATCAACTATACCTTCATCATCAGAAACAATGTCATCAACTACATCATCATCAATGACAACAATATATGAAAGTTTAGATAATTTTCCATCATTATCATCATCAACAACAAGTCCAACATATGTATCAGCAGTTAGTACATTTAATACAGGTGGTACAACAACACCACAACATTTAGATTTTGATATAAGTGATGAAGATCTTATTGAATCATTTGATAGTGAAAAAACACCTCAAGGTAGAACCTATCGCATACGAATTAAACCAAGCACGAACATATTCATATATACCTGGCATGTCATTTACCTTCCTTGTTTTTTTTTCACTCTCTCTCTTTTCCATTTCAATTTGGCATGGCAAAAACCAATTTTTTGCTTAACAACAAATTTGTTATTTGTCTTTTTTGTCTTAATTCATTTTATCTATATAACATAGTTTCGACGCCTATAATCGAAATAATTGAAGATAATAGCGAACCGATTGATGAATGCGATATGACATTTCTTACTGAAGTTCTTGCTCAATACAATCAGAATCTTCATCATCAAGGTTTGCGTATGAAGTGTGCGCATGTTAAATATTTGAATGATACTTTGAAAAGAATTTATATTAAAATATATTATGAATATGAATATGAATATGAATTTGTTTTTTTTTTGTTTATTAGATAATCTCGAAACAACAAATGTTCAAACATCATTTAATAAAGAAGGTAAAAAAAAATAAATAAATAAAATTTTAATTATCTCATAGAATTGAGATTAAGTAAAAAAAAACAAAACTTAAATAAAATTTTTCTAGCTCAAAATGAATCGAGAAATCAATAATGTAAGCAAAGATATAAAGCATGGTTTTTGAGAATGGGATTATTAGATTTAATAAAACTAAACATCGCATGTAGCTAAATAAAATTAACTTTTTATATGCGCGAATACATATATATATTGCATTATGTTTTGTGTATATATACATTAATGTTAAACATATATTCTCTAAAGGAGTGTGTGTGTGATACGGTTAAATAAAAAACTGCTGTTGTTCTCTTTGCATGTTTGTTGTCCTATTGTTGTTGTATTTCTTAACTATCTTTTTTTTTTTGTTTTTCTTTATATATCGTAATTTTCTCTTTCTTCTTCTTCTTTGTTTTGTTTTATCATCATTCACTGACGGTTATTGAATATGTGTAAACAATAGAAAAAGAAAAAGCGTAGTGAACGATAATCGAAGTAAAGAAAATACAATATGAACAAAAACAAGAGAGTTTTCCCTTTGGATGTTTGTCTTACTGACTAGCTTCGCATTTTTCTTTTTTCTATTATTACACCTAGTTTCCTTCGTTTGCTTATATACTTGCATGATGACGAATGGCCGTTTACCCTCTCTTTCTCTTTCTTCTTCTCTCGATTCAACAAATGCGCGAACCGTATCACACACAGAATCCTGCTCGAGAAAAAAATTCTCTCGTTTTTTTTTCCTATATATATATATCTGTTCTTTTTCTTTTTTTTTTTGCTATTCTTTTTTCCTAAAAAAAAAAGAGTGACATTTCTGTGTGTTAGCTAGATTTTCTCTCTGTTGTTTTTTTTTTGCTCGCGTTCTGTTACAATCTAATCCATTAAAGAGAAATAGAAGAACTACAAGAAATGAAGTGATTGCTAAACTACTACATATCGTTTTTTTCCTTGTTTTCTATTGTTTACAGCTACGCTTGCCAGCAAAGTAGAAGAATCGCCGTTATCATCATTATCATCAGCATCAGAATCATTATCATTATTAATCTCTGTTTCTTCTGCTTCTTCCTCTACTAATTTTTCTTCTGTTCCTTCTTTTCATATCACTACTAAAACATCATCTAAATTTTTATCGAATATGCCAAATAGAACTTCGAATATAAAATTTCAAAATTTTAATAAGATTTCACCAACAATAACAACAAATATAAATGAAGATAATTCAATAAATACTAATCAACAAGAAAACAAAGATTTAAATATGAATTTACAGTCACCAATTCATCAACGTCGTTTACCATTACCAAATAAATTAACATTTGAACAAAATATAACAAATCTTATTGAAAAAGAATCCCCATTATTACAATCAGAATTATTAACTACTGAACATGAATTATCTGTATTTCGTTCACGTTTAGCTGTTAATGAAGGTGTTACAGCTGTAACAGGTACAATACTTGAATCACTTAAAGGACATTTTGACTCGAATCATAAAATTGATGATACAATATCATCAGTTGATAAATATAAAACAGATATTCTTCAAAAATCCACATCTATTCAAACATCACCAATTACTGAAAATTTACCAGACACAATTGAAATACATTATGATGCTGAATCACCTAAAAATCCATATCTACTTGTTAAAGCAATAAATTCTTTTTGGATTGTACAACCAATAGATGATTGTGAAGTAGAAAAACATTTAAAAAAATTTTCATCACCAATTATGAAACATGCTGCTATCAAACTACCAGACACATTTCATATAAATAATTATAATTTTGATGATGAAGAAATTTTTAAAGAAAAATTACATGAAGAAACATTTTCATCTTTAATTCCAAAAAAAATAACAAATATTGACAAAGACAATAAAACTAATGATTCAATATCCGAGAAAAATGAATGTTCAACAAACAATCGTCATGAACAATTAGTAGAAATAAAAAAAATACATTCATCATCATTATTTCAATATCATGATCAATTTGAAAAATTTGATGATAAAATTGATGAAATTTATTCAATTATTGATTATTTAAAACATAATAAATTAACATCAACATCAATTATTTTAAATAATCTTCATATGAAATTAAATGATTTAAAATTACTTCTTCATGATATTCATTTAAATAAACAAGATGAATTACGTATAGATTATGAATTAGATGAATTAGAAAATTTTTTTAATAAAACATCTCAACATGATGATTATAATTTTATTGAATTATTTGAACAAAATCTTCATGAATTACAATATATTATTCAAGAAATAAAAATTTTAAAAAATCAATCACAACAACATTTCATAAAAACTATTAATGAAAAAGATAATTCAAATAAATCAATAATTACATCAAAAACATTACATAAACGTCTTATACCTGAAAATCCCATTGTAACAAGTGATATATTTTTTGAAGGTAATAAAATATCAAAACAAAAAAAATCTCTTCCATCAAATCCTATTCGTTTAATACCTGAAGATGCTCAAATAAATGCTTCAAGTTTTTATGAAGGTGATATACATCGTTCATTATATCAACATACAGAACAAGAAAAACAAATTATTGATAATACAAATAAAAAAATATCTCTTATACCTGAAAAACCTTATATTTCAAGTGAAAATTTTTATGAAGGTGATCCACAACGTTCAATGTTTATTGAACGTCCATTATTAACACATTATGAAACTTTATCATCATCATTACCAAGATTATCAATTGATAATCTTCGAGAAATTATGAGTGATTTAATGCTTGTTGCATCATGGTCTAAAAAACCAACAAAACTAAAAACTCAACAAACAAAACCTAGTACGGAAGTTCATGCTGAATCATTTATAACAACTGAAAAACGACATTCAAACTTATGTGAAATTACGCATGACATTGAAAGTTTTCCTTTATCACATCCTTCAATATTAATTGAAGAACAAGATACAATATCACCAGTAAATATCGAATTACGTAACGAACAAATAATTGAATCTTCTCAAATGACTGAACAAAAAGAAAATTTTAATAATAAGATAATTACTGAAACATCTTCAAATGAAAATCAATCAAAACCAATATCAACTAATACTGAATTCACCATTGTATCTTCACCATCGTTCAAACAAAACAATGAACAAAAATTAATTATTGAATCTAGTTCTTCTATTCCTTTAGAATCAACTATCAATGAAAATATGTTAACATCTTTACCTATAATTGAATGTAGTTCTGAACAAATTGAAAATAATTCTTTAACTTATGATCAAGAAGAAGATATCAATGAAGAAAATTTACATGCTTCACAATCATTTCCAATCTATGATGAAGACTATATGAAATCATCTAATTCATCAATAAGATCTTATGTACAACGTTCAAATATTATTTCTAAAACTATAACATCATATCATGATGAAATAGAAAATGAACATGAAGAAGAAGAAGATATTGAAGAAAGTCATTTTCGTCCGACACATCTTGATATGTATTCTGATGAACAAATACAATATGAAAATCATCTTATTGAAACATCAAATAATCTTGTTGAACGAATTTTAAATGAAGCTATTTCAGAAATAATTGAATATGAACAAAGTAATTTATATTATCAAGCAGCAATTCAAATTGTTAATGATGTTATTGAAAATATTTTTCTAAACTATGATAATGAATTTAATTTAATTGAATCAACATCCATTAGTAGTAGTACTACTACTAATAGTGATAATGAAATAAAAGAAGAAGCCGAAGAATATAATGATAAATATTTATCATCATCTGATGATGAAGAAAATGAAAAACTAATTCCACAAATATCTGATCAACCATATTTATTTGTTTCTGATGTAATTACATCAAAATCAACACAAGAACTTGGTAATCTTGTACAAGAATTACAAACACTTGAACATAAAATTTTTCATATTCATTCATTATCGTCATCATCATCATCATCATCATCATCATCATCATCATCAAGTTTATCTGATAATGATCAAATACCATCATATGATTTATCTATTCCGAAAATAGTTGAAACAAAATCAATTAATGAATTAACAAATCTTGTTATTGAATTAGAAAATGTTGAAGAAGCACTTGAAGATAAACTTGATTTACCTACAAATATAGATAAATCACCAATATCATCGAAATCATTTAATGAACTTGGTGGTTTAATTAATGAATTAAATAATGTTTCAAAACAATTAAATAATCGTATACATGAAGAAATTTTTACATCAACAAATATTGATTCATTATCACAAGATATAATTAAATATCGCCGTGATTCACTATCAAATGGAATTATTCATAGTCCACATAAAAAAGAACAACAATCATTAAATTTAATAATATATGAACAAGATTTAGAACATATAAAACCAATATTAGTTAATGATGTTGTTCTAAATCATGATCAATTAGAATATGAACAAATTGAAAATCAAGTTGTACATGATTTGATTGATAATGTTATTAAAGAAGCACAAGATATTATGTTATCCGAGGTAAATATTATAAAAATAATAAAACCTTAAAATTCGAATATCTCAGTCTATGCATATCAGAGACAACCTATATTTTAAATTTTTTAATTTAGCAGAGTCATTTTCTATTTGAAAAATATGATTGTTTTGTTTTTTGATCATGCATTCTAGAGAATTCTCGACGGAGCTTGATTGTCGCCAATGGCTTTTTTTTGTGTTTTAAAAGACCATATCAAAATGCAGAGCATGTCGGAACTCGTTTTTTTTTTTTAAATTAAGCTTTGATACTATTATATAAAAGAGTACTTTTGTAATTAGGATGTCATTTTTTCAGATATTAAACTTTTCTTCCCCTTAAAAAATAAGAATTGAAAAAAAACCGGACTCTTTCATGCCATACATCCTGACATGCTCTGTCAAACAAAATGAAATTAATTTTTATAGAATAGTTATTTTTAGCTTTTGTTAATTGAAAATCTCTGGAAAACATAATAATATAAGGCTGAAAATTTTATCATAACCTTTTTACTACAGCTACAACATATCTTGATAATTTTATGCAATTTGAATAAACTTGAGCTAAAATTGATTTTTAAGTGGGCTTTAACTAACAATACAAATATCTCCATTGCAAAATTAATATTCATAGTCGATAATAGAAAATATCATTTGTTTTTTGATTTGTGTAATCTATTGAGAATAAACGTACATCTCTTAAATTCTCTCGACTACGATAATTAGTCGCAAAGCTGAAAAATAAAAACAGCAAAAAAAAAATTTTTTTTCTTAGCATTATAGAAAAATAACTTAAAGAAGTCAAGAAAATAATTAACAAATCTACTCAAGGATAAGAAACATTAGATATGAGCGAATGTTTAGTAAACGTTTTTAATCAAGTATGAAACCTTACACGAGAATAAGTAGTAGTTGCTTTAAAAATTTTCCTTATTTTCAAACTTTTGTCGCTTGCGATTTTCATTATTCAATAATAAAATATATTTTTCGTAACATGTCGATAAATTTAAAATGTGAATGTCAATATTTCAGTTCTGCTTGCTAATGAGATCATCTACGAATCCGTTTCATAGAGTAAATATTTATTTTTCCGATGTTGTATGAGATTAAAATACATGTCTACAAATTGAGTTTTGTGAGAAGCAAAATATAGAAACTACTGTTTCATCAAACCCTCGATCAATTCTACATTGCAGCTAATTATTATTTTCTTCTTAAATCCATTTATTTTATGAAATAGATCTTAATTATATATTTAACTCACGAAAGACGACTACATTCGTATTAGTAGCAAGCTTATGTAAATTTAATCATGATACTTGTATCTCACGAGAGTACCTTTCACCTTTCATATAGAATTATACTCTATAGCATGACATGCACCAAAATATATCGAATGACGTAATTTTTCTTATAGATAGACTTGCTTGTATCTGTAATATCTTGAAAATATTAGTTCAAAAGAATATTTCTTTCACGAGATATTGAATTTCCAAGAAAACATGAGATTCTCGAATTGTTCGTGCAATATGAGAGATTGTAAGAAATTCAATACATTAAGACGGAAACATTCTTTTGAGTTGAAATCTTTAGAACATTTTCTATACAAGTAAGACAATCTACAGGCAAAATTACATCATTCGATATCTTTGGTATATGTCATGCTATAGGTTAAAATATGATTCAAATGGTTATAACTCTATAGAAAAGATCTAGATACCCTTGCCACTTTTGAGATTTTTAATACTTTATTGAAGTCTATATTATGCACAAAGTTCAGATTTTCAAGTTGGAAAGGTTCTATTGTTGAATCAAAATAATTCTCTGACTAGTAGTGTTGACTGTATAGATGAATAAATGTAGAAGAAAAAGAAAACCATTATATTTCATTTTATTTTAGTTATTATCAAATGTTTCTCTAACAATTGTTAAATCTGTTCCAACAATTATCGTTGATGAAAATTCGAAATTATATCAACGATCATCAATAACAAGTATATCTGATGATTTAGAACTTTCACACGGAGATTATACAGTCGATAGAACAATAGAATTAGCTGCACAATTGGATTATCTAAAACGTATGTCACGTTATGAAAACTTAACAAATCAACAAGAACAAATAGAAAATTCTCAAATTATTCAAGAAGAAAATCCACAACAATCAAATATCATTCATGATTCAACGATGATAAATCAAGATTCTCTAAACCAACGTTCAACAGATTCACTTGATTATCATTCAATTGAAATTGAATCAAGTCAATTATCTACTGGACGAACAACAAGTGAAAATAGTCTTCATAGTGCAGTATCATTACCTACATACGATAGTCATTCATTATCAACATCATGTTTAATTGATAATAATGATGATAATAATAATAATCAAGAAAATTTATTAATTAAAACAACTGATATCAATTTATTTGATCATGTTAAATCACTTATTAATAAACCACTTGAAATTGTACATGAAATAATAGAAAATCAATTTAAACAACGGATTAATGAATCAAATATAAATAATAATCAAAATATAGATAATAATGAAAAAGAATTTTTAACAACACAACAACAACAACAACATTTTCAATCAGCATATGATTTACATGATGAAGAAAAAAGTAAACTTGTACGAAGTCCTGAACTTTATAATATGAAATATGCTATTAAACATAATAATCAAACATTATTAATTAATTCACAAATACAACATCGTACATTATCAGAATCAGCATTAACTATTGATGATTTAAAACATCAAAATTTTAAAAAAACAACTAATGAAATATCAAATGAATATTTAACAACAATATCAAAAGATAATTCATTAGAATCAATACAACAACATCGTCTTCCAACACCTTTTGATGATGTTATTGAAAAAGAATCAAGTCCAGAACATTCAGAATCATATAATATACCACTAACAGCTTTTTCTGACGTATTAGAACCAACTAGTAGTTGTCAACGTCCATTAGCATTTTGTTTATCTCAACAACAACAAATAATAACTGATGCCGAATATCGTAGAGTTGCTAATGATTTAGTAAATCAAGTATTACAAGATGTCATTTTAGAATTGACTGTCGAACAAGATGAGTCATCTTCAAGTAATAAAAGTGATAAATTATTTACAAGTAGTATATCATCTGATAATGATGATGAACTTCGTGAACAAGATGATGAAATAAATATACAAAATCAATTATCAACTTCATCAAACTTAAATATTTCTTCTCGTTTATCATTTGGAAAAGTTTTACGTCGTGCTCAAACTGATACTGAAAATTTTGAAATCATTCAAAGTCCAAATACAAAAATTCCATCAATTATTCGTCGTAATTCTCAATCGGATACTGAAACATATTTTCGTTCAATATCATCATCAATTAATAATTCAACACAAATAAAACCTTTGTATGATAATTCAAGTTCAGATGAAAAATTGACGAATAAAAATTCAACAATATTAATTCAAGAAAATGAAAAATATTCAGGTGAAGGTGAAGAAAGTAGTGGTGGACAACAACGAATTGTACAACGAAGAAAACGTTCAAATGATACAATGTATATAAATGATTCACCAGGAATAAAAAATCTTCCATTTAAATATGAATTTAATGATAATTTCAAACGACAATATAGTCTTGAATCACCATCAAAAGATTCAAATGAAAAATTAATTCTTAAAACATTACAAGAAGGTATACTTCGTACAAATTTAAAATCTTTTCAAATAGATTTAGATTTAATTAATCAACAAGAAGAAAATTCTTATGAACAAATTTATTCATCAGCAACAACAAAAACACTTTCACCTTATTATGATTATGATGCCGAAAGTGAAACTGAACGTGATGATGTAAAAAAAATTTCTATACATAATTATATTGTTTTACAAATATTTCCTAATGAAGTTAATTCTAATAATTGTTCTATAAGAAATATATCATCAGAATTAAATCAAATATCTTCTTTAATTGATATTGATATTAAAAATCTTCTTGATGATTTAATTGACTCAATAAATGATGGTATATCAATATCAATATCAAGTGAACCATTATCATCACAATCAGATGCAACAACAGTTATATTTAATTCAATAGATGATGAACAACATATTGAAAAATATCCTTGTATATCGAGTCATAATTTAAATCAAAATAATCAACAATGTTTAACAATACCAATATCAAGTACATCATCATCATCATCACCATCATCTCCAAATCATTCTGTGATATATTACCAACAGGATCATTCATCACAAATACAAAATAATTTAAATCCTTTTGTAAATACAAATCCTAAAAAACAATCATCAATACCATCATTGTCTAATGTCGATTTACTTAGTCATGATACTAAAACAAAATTTCGTTCGTATCCCGGTTCATTAGGAGGTACTGATATACCTCCTTCTTCTATTGAATCTATCCTCAACAATTATTGTTCAACGACAACAACATCTACTACTTTGCCTAAGTAGTAACTAATCACGTTCCTTCCCTCTTCGTTTCTCGATATTGTCTCATTTGTTGTTCGTGTTCTTTTTTCTTTTCTCCTAATCTTTGTAATACTTTGTTGATTACTGCATGTAAATTGTTTTCAATTAAGATTTGATAATTAAGATTTATTTCTCTATTTTAGGTAAACAACAATTTGACGAGTAATTAAACGACAAAACAGATAGACATTAAATCTTTTGTGTGTGTGTGTGTGTGTGTGTGTGCGTGTAATCTTCTTTGTAAAACCTTGAAATCTCTTCTTTTTTTTTCTGTCTTGATGTTTTGTGTGTATTACACTAAATGAGCATAGTAGTATGAACAATGGCGACAATACAAAATGAGATATACTAAATGGAGATTATTCGTTGTATTTATTGGCATGGTATTCTATTTGTTTTTCTCATGTCGCTTAATTTCAATAATTAATTCTACTGCTATTGCTTGTTCGATTTTTTTTTGTCGATTTGCCTGCTCTGCCTGTTCATTTGCATTTTCATCATTTAAAAAAAATGTCCCAAATATAATAGTCTATGAAAAAATTTTAAAAATTGTTTATATACATGAAAAGAATAGTTCATAATAATAATGCAATGAAATACTGGATATAGAAGTTATGATGGGTTTCTAATATGCAAAATTGTTTTATGAATTCTAAAAAAATAAAAGAAATATAAACAATAAAAAGAAAGTATAAATAATAATATTTACTTGTTGCATTCTTGATCAATTTCGATACTAAATAAAAATTCAAAAATTTTGATTGACAAACAAGAAAACAAAAACTTCTAATTTATATATCAGAATTAAATTAAAATAAGACATCGACAATTCTACTATGTACTTGTATATTTTTTAAGACGATAAATGTTGATTATTCTGTAAGGTATATATGAACCGAAACTTGGTTGTTAAGTTAATTGAAACATCTGATGAATTCTATCATGCAATAAATTATCATAGAAAACATATGTCTATTTTCTTCAAACTCAAAAGAACAGAACTGACAGCTCTGAAGTACAACAAACTACCTTCAATGAATTTTATCTTACAGCTGTTAACTTTAAAAAAAGTTTCTTCAACTATCGTGTATTAATTGAACACTAGAAGAAAGTCTAAAATGATTGGAATTCACGATCTTTTTCTCAATTGACAGCTGATCTAACAAGTTATCGAAAAGTCCTTTGACAAAAATGTTTATTCATTTTTTTTTCAGTCTCGTAAAGGAGTCGGTAGAAATATTGGGTTAGAATCAGAATTTTATGTTCTTTTCAAATATGAGTTGACCTTTTAGAAGCCTGTAAATTCAATTTGGATATAGAAAACTGACATTTCTTTTTTGCAGCATTATTTATCGATATTTTTGCATAGGACTAAAGATGAGATAGTTCTCTATAAAGTGATATAAGAATCAAGATGTCATGACCCTCTGTTATGATACATCATTAGTTAGACAATTTGTTCTTTCTTGTCTGCTGTTATGCTATGTATTACATTCTTTGATTCTTTTTTTTCTCTCTCCTCTCTTTCAATTTGTCTCTCTTGAATTAGAGAAATATCATCGGTAGCCGAGGGAAATCGAGATGTCTTCAAATATATTTATGCCTCTGTTTTTTTCCAATTTTGTGTTAGAATTAGAGATCTGCAAAGTGGTCTCGGATAGTTTTTATCAAAAAATATACAAATATATTTTCATAATTATTTTTTTTATCTGATTAAAAACATTTAATCATCTATTTTTATTTACTATTCCTATAAAATAAAGTTCAACCGCAGAATTATATCGTGCTTCAATCTAAATAATCAATTCGATATTATTTTTATAAGCAAACTGAGTATTCATATCTTACATTGAATAACTATTAATAAACTTACTTGTAAAGGATAAGCATAATGATTTCGATATTTAAGTGATAATGGTGCATCAGATTGATCATCTACATCTTTTGAATTAATTAATCTATAATATAGTTCAGCATGTCCATACTAAAATAAAATTTCTTTATATATGTATATATATATATACAAATTAAATTTAACATTTTTTTTTACTGTTGGAGCTCTACTGGTAATAGCAAGACTTTCATCTTGAAGAATTGGTACTGCTTTTAAAGGTACTTTCCATCGACCACTAAATAAACGATTTTTATTATCGAATAATGCTAATTTTGTCCAAGCAGTTGTTTGTAATTCTTCAATTGATGCTTGTTTCTTTGTTGATGTTTGTATTTCAATAACAACAGTTAATGCTTGTTGTGGTGGACATCTTTAATTAAAAAGAATTGATAATAAATAAATAAAAAATACATAAGTTTTTTAATTTAACAAACCCTGGTACAGGTTGTTTAGTAGCAATGAAAGCAATATTCATACGTTCATTAGTTCTTTCATCAATATATTGTTCACATTTTATTGGTTCTAATTCTGATGGTTCACCAACTCCAGATTTTGGATGATGAATAGATGTTATAAGACGACATTTTTGAATTGTTAAAGGAAGATTCGTAATAAAATCAAAAAATATAACAAAACCACCAACTGGATCATATGATTGAGGTGCAAGTGGATTACGTAATTTACTTATATTTGAAGTTGCAATACTTAAAGCTGGACTTGCACGAGGTGTAATACGTTTGCCAAATGTATTTAATGATTTTTGTTCATCAATTTGATCATTATTAGTTTCACGAGCAGGTTGTCGATATGAAGTAGTTTTTGATGATAAATAACGTTCATAATTATCAATTGAACTTGGTATATCATTTGTTGACATTGATAATTCTAATTGTTTTGTACCTTTAAATAAAAAATAAAAACCATAAGAGAACTCTTAATAATTTGTAAATATAAAATCAATATGAATAACTACGTGCACTAAGTGTATCAAATTTTTTACTCATGTCATGAAGTTCATTTTGTAAACGTTCATTTTGATCATGAACTAATTTTAATCCTTCATTTATTGGATCAATACGACTTTCAGGTTGATCTATTGATAAATACATTATATAAATTAATGAGCGAACAAAAAAAAATAACAAGGAACATGTGAAATACAAACATTGAGATTGTCGTAATGGTTCCGGATAATCTATTGTCCATGGATACTCTTCATAGGCACCTAATGTATATTCAAGATCACTATATCGTGTAATAACACTTGCATCATGGCCACCGGCTTGTAAATAGTCATTTCGAGAATTTCTAAAAGCATGGTATTCACATCATATATCTGTAGTCTAACACAAAAATTAAGTTATTATTGTTTCAAATACATCCCATATGATTATACTGCATCTGTTTGTACTATATCAAAATATACAGTAGAGTATTCAGTTCATATTTTAAAATAGTTTGTTTGACAGTGAGAACATTCATTGGATTCGAATATGATCAATCTTCTTAAAGCATACGACTTTCCAATACAGATAGTTGTTCGTGCTTTCTTATCTCTTATTATGATTATCATCTCATATTACTCATGAATAAATTCTGATTGCTTGTAGATTCTTATTTATATAGTCATAAGCAGCTAGGACTTGATTATATCCTTTTTTAATTAGTTCATTAAATTCATTCAAAATTTTCTTATTCAAAAAAACAGCGTTTTTTTTCAAGGTTAATAGCTTTTTTGTCTGTTCTTGACAGGTTTAGTGACGAGTAAAAGTTTAGCGCACTTGTATTTTTGAGTTTTCTTTTCGATAGTAATAGCTAGGAAGAATTTGAAAAACTATTCGAGTAGCTAAAAAATTCTCTATCAGGATTTGTGAACCTAAAAACTCAAATAAAACTTCTTGGATGAGAATGTTTCGAAAACTAAGACCACCTCGAAACAAGTTTTCTAACGTCCATTTGAAGTTTTTTGAAAATGATTTTATTTGATAGAGCAAAATGGGATGTCTCATTCTCTTTATCGAACTGCATCCAATTTACAAAAGACTCAAGAAACATTTTCCTTATGCTTTTATGAGAAACTTCTATGATTTCGCCATGTTCGATGCTTTGGAGAGCTTGCTATAAATTGAATGCAGTTCGATAAAGAGAGTGAGACATCTCTTCACATGGATGTCAAGAAACAGATTTTGGGATGGTCTTGGTTTTTCAGACAATCTCATCCGAGAGGTTTTATTGGAGTTTTTAGGTTCACAAGTCTTGCTAGAGAATCCTTGTAGCTACTCAAATAGTTTTTCAGATTCTTCCTAACTATTATTATTGAGAAGAAAATTCAAAAATACAACTGCTCGAAATTTATATCCGTCACTATACATACGTTATTAAATCAATACATTTTTTGTACAGTCCTATCATTCAGATCTACATAACTTCTTTATTCTCTTAAAAAGATAGTGTTTTTTTGCTTCCAGTCTATTATCTTCATCATCATATTAGTCGGCTGACAAAAAAAAATGTCAGGCATAGATAGGCTGAAGAAGTTCATAATCTGTTGTAGGGAAGTCTGACGTACGAAAAGCAAATTTCTTGTACATAGTTTTGACAATCAACTCAAAAAATCCTGAACGGTTTAATGAACTATTCGTAGACAAGAATACTTGTTTGTCAACTGTAAAAACAATACATAGTTATCTTTTGTAAGACTCTCTTTCAACTGAATGTAAAAGATCAATTAAGTTAATATTTCTTTAATTTTTCTACCTCACATTATCACCAACTGCTCGTCGTATTCGACTAGTAGCATATGGTAAAGGTGATATATTGCTTATAGTTGATAATGAACTATAAAATAAAAAGAAACACAAAATTATTTTTATAAATAAATAAATACCCATTTGTATAGATAAGACGTCCTCGTAGAAAATCTAAAGCTTTCTCATTAAGTTCTTGTTGTTCTTTCATTTCACGTAAAACTCTATATGGATCATAATTTGACATTCTTGTTGGTTGATAATTAGTTGATATTAATTCTTCAAGTTTTTGTTGAATAACTAAATAATACATAAAAACAAAACTTTATATTTTATCTGCC